TGACATTTGAAAAGCTATTCGACAGCCGATTAGTTAACATCTACGATGGCAAGTGTTTTGGAAACCGGACGTAAATCACTTACAAATTGATTTAATTGTTCTGCTAATCCCACGTAGGTAGCATAAGGATTATTAAAAGATCTGATGAAAAATAAAAAAATTAAAAAGAGGCAATTGGACGTAGCATAATTGACAACGGAATTTCGTCTTGTAGCATTGGAACACAGCGCGTGTAAACATTTCACCGGAGCCACGTTAGCGTGTAACCGCTGAAATGAAAGTGTTCAGGCCCGCGTCGCGGAATGTTAGTTAAGATGTTGCGAGTCTTCCAATTGCAAATTTCATGATTTCATTACTGCAGATGATATATTAGATAAATGGTGTCCTTGCTGTTTATACCACGGCTTCTAGATTGAACATTTGTTCCATTAAGAGTTTTTGTACTGTATTATCCGAGTCACTGTGTTCCATAGAGAATATGTTATAATTTTATGAGTATTACTGTGGAATAGAATATATTAACTGTTTTTCATTGTTATTATTTATGATCTTAGTTTATTTTTTATCTGTGTAATGTATTTTATGATGCCTAACTATAATTTTTCAGGAGTGGTAGTTCATAGCCCTGGAAATTATTTTCAGTTTTAATTGTTGGCTTTAGCAAAGCAAAGCCAACAATTAAAACTGAATTGACAATTTGAATTGTAAAAGCAAAGCAAAATTTTGTTATTGGGATTGCCAAATAAGATATAGAACACAGTCTATGGAACATTTATGCAAAGAATCTTATTTAACTGTTCTTACAGTTATAGAACTGTTAAATATGATACAGTTAAGAGAAAAAATAACAATAAAAGAGAAAGATGCATCGCTATGTCGTCCATATAGAAGAAATAGATTTAATAGTAATATACATTGTACATATTATATACTCTTAAGTTACAAATAACCACAACACACTTGAGGCTTGTTAAACTTAAATTATTGAAAGGAAAAAACATAAATAGTACTACAAACTGAATTGTGTACTAACTTACCCGGGATTAATTCATTTTAGATAGATTCATTTTATATAGTTTGTTTTAAACTTTGTGAGTGAGGTTATAAATATGCTGTATTTTTACGAGAGTTATTTTTATAATGCCGATTAGATATAAGGCTTTGATCCTGTGCAGGATCTGAAAGAACCAAACGTAGAATTTCGTCATCATGCGCCATTGAATACGTGCTTATTGCCTCGATGTCGCGGTCTTACATACTCCTTATGCAAATCTCGTTACGAAATCTATTTGGGCAGTCCAAAACTTATTGGCAGTGAGTGAACGCGAATGTAAAATTAATTGAGATTAGCGACCCGCCGGCCGGATTTTCGCGACGTGTTCTTGAAACAAGGAAAAAGGAAAGTTCTTAATAATTTATATAATTGATGACTTCGCGGCGCAGTTGCCAAGGTATTGGCTTCGGCGTCGGGGGTCGTGGGTTCGATTCCCACACGGGACAACTATTTGTGTGACCCACAGATAGTTGTTTCGCATCTGGGTGTTTGTCCGCGTGAAATTTATGCTTGTAAAACGTCCTTACAACACAGGATAATATTATCCTAAAGTAAGGGCAATGTTTAAAAGAAGAAGATTAAAAAAAAATCACTTTAAATAAAATTAAGTATTTTAAGGTTAATTTTGTATTTCAGTCTTTAGGACCCTAAAACTCGTTCTGAATTAAATTTTGGCTAATAACTGTATACGCCTACGTAGAAACTGTAATAAAGTAAAAACAAGTAAGCTGATTTTCTCTAACACGTATGAATTCACTAGACCACGTCTTAATAGTTGATAATGAATGAGCGGAATCTTGTTAAACAGCCACCATTTCTTCCTTGAGTAACTTCTTTAAGTTTTTCCTTGTTTTGTAAGGAATTTATTGCATAGCACGATGCTCAATTTTTCGACATTGTCGTATTCAGCCATCGTAGTGACCTTTTCGTAATGATGTTTTGAGTACTAATGGTGACAATTAATAGAAACCTGATGTTTATAACCTCGAAGAGTATCTTTCAAAATCAAAATCAAAATCAAATGTCTTTATTTAACATAGGAGTATTACACTCGCTTATTGATAGTCAAAATACTACAACCTGTTAGAAAAAGAAAGCTACTGTACTGAGAAGAACCGGCGAAAGAAACTCAGCGGGCTTTTCTTTTATTTATTTTTTAAATTAACAGTTTGACATGAATTCATTACAAATACAATATAAGAACTCTGATTGAAAGAGCCTGAAGCGATCAATTCATTAACAGAGTGTTTTCATTTAAATAATCGAATCAATTAGTGTGTTATCATTTAAATAATCATTAGTATTATAATAGCCTTTAAAGCACAAACGTTCTTTTACTACTTTTTTAAATTAATCTATTGATGGGTTTTGAACGTTTTCTGGAATTTTACGTAGCTTCTTGTGGGTAGGATCAATTTATGATTGTTCCTAGTATTTATATCATGAACATTATTATGTCTAGAAAATGTATCCTTATTTTTATGAACATACATAACATTTTCAAAAATGTTACATAACATTTTCAAAAATGTATTGAGAAGCAACACTCAACTGTCTTTTTTTTATGTGAAAAGTTCCCAAGCGAGCAGGCGGTTCACCTGGTGTTAAGTGAATACCGCCGCCCATGGACATCTGCTACACCCGAGGGTTGCAGATGCGTTGACAACCTTTCGAAAATTGGGCTCCGGCCGCCTCACTCACCAGACGAAACGCGAAAGTATTATACTTCCACTTTACGCCGGTCTTCTGTGAGGTCGTGGTACTCACCCGGACGGGCCTGCCCATTCGTGCGTCAGCCGAGGCTGCTGCGTGGCCCTACCACAGTAACCTACCACAGAGTCTTATTTTGATTATTTTGATTTGATTTGTTTACCTTATATATACTTTAATTACCCTCATTATTAGTATATCACCCCTATACAGAGAATACACTGAACGCCCCTCGTATGTGATTCCATCACAGCGTTCACATTTTCTCAAATTTCATTCTTACAATGTATAGGATTTGATAACTACCGATTTCGCTTTTGCCATTATTGAAATTTAATTGTAATTTAATGCTAGTCTCTGCACTTATGATGAAATTTAAAATTGTTAAAACTTAAAATTCTATAAATTAGATAAAACTGTCGCTAAATTACGTCACTGCAAGGATATGAAGTCCAGTGTGTCGTGTATATGTAATTTTATATTTATTTTTTATACTGTTTGTATGATATTACGGATAATACAGATAATGACTCTGATAATATGTATTTTTTATGTTGCGATGAATCAATAAGCGATAACATTCCAACGTTAAAAAATCGACTCAACAAAATATTTTTCGCCGTTGATAAATCATTAAATATCTGTCACATTAACACCCAAAGTATACTCAATAAAAGGCACTTTTTTGAACACGAAGTGTTCATTCTGAAACGTAATTTCTTACTATTAGTTGCAACACAATATCGCCGCTGATGACTCTTCGCTCTGGTCTCTTTTTTCTTAACTATAATGCGGCTGTGCTTGTCTACTATCTGACCTGATGGCTAATAAAATGTTATTTTAGATGTAAACGCACTACTACTAGTAACAGCCTATTCTCTTACTACTCTTAAATACTCTTTCCTTAAATAAAATCACATTGGAATCGGACGGGAAAACTGAGGTTTTTCCGTCTTTTCCTAAAGATCAAATGAAAAGCCTTGCGCTAAACAACGAAAGAGATCCTCCCTTTTCTTAAAGATCAATTGAAGTCTTGCTCTTGTTGAGCGCAATGAATTATGAAACAGATCCTCCATCTCTCTCATCTGACCAAAAGTTCGCTATTCCTCATAATACTGGTTTCTTCGGCAAACTTGGTACTCCTTGCCTGATGACATATGTAGGGCCCTTAACACGGCTTCTTTCAAACGCTTGGTCCGTGATTTGTAATAAAAGTACACATTATAAGCATATAAAATGTTAGATGTTATTGTTGTGCCTAATAATGCGGGTATTATATTTTAAACATTAAATATTCAAATACACATTATTTATTTATATGTCGTCTGTAAATAATAACACTATTACTTTATCAAGATTTATCTTCACGTCTCGGGTCGACCGGGAGAGAATTCCAAATTAAAGGGTAATTGCAATAAAGGATAATTTTCCTTTATTTAATTAAATAAAAATAAACCTCACAGAAGGCTATACTGTAGTGCAGATTTATATACTTTTGCATTTCATTAATAGATCAAATTTATATAATAAAATGCAAATGTTTAATTTGCAGTTAGTCCAGTTACTTTTCAAATAAAAAAACAACGTTACCCCAAGTTGTTTTTTATGTGAAAAGTTAGCAAAAGAGCTGCCGGTTAACCCGATGTTTAGTGACCTTGGACATTCCACAATACCTTGGTGTATGCAGATGCGTCGCCGACTGATAAACCAGACGAAAGGAGAGGCCGTGGCTCCATCACAGTAAAAGACTCTCAAGTAACTAAACTCCCACATAATATAAAGTTGGCAACGCACCAGGAGCCTCATCGGTATTGTTGAAATCCATTTGGAGCAGTGATAACTCACTATCCGGTGAGCCGCTGGCTGGTTTGCCACCTAATTTTGTTTTTAACTGCGGTATGGCCACGAAGCACCTACTACTGTAGCACGAATGGACAAACTCATCCGAGGAAGTATCACGACTAAAATAAGACCAGCGTGAATAATAAGTATTATCTTTCTTTCTTTCTATTATACTTTCGCGTTTTGTCTGGTGAGTCAGGTAATCGGGGACAAGCCGGAGCCCACTTTATTGAGAGTTGACAACGCATTTGTAACCCTGTGCGAGGTAGTGAGAGACGGAGCCCACTTTATTGAATGTTGGCACGGCATTGCGTTACAAATTGGCTGTTGAAAAAGTCCATAGGCATTATCACTGGGTTTTCAACTTTCACATATGTCACCTCTGGACCCTCAGCGTAACGGCTCCCAGGAGTACGACGGCGTGTTCGTGATGAACACCGGCGCGGAGGACTTCTCGCGGCTGGGCAACGTGGAGATGTGGCGCAACTCGAATCGCACCCTGTACCGCGACGAGTGTGGCGAGGTGCGCGGCTCCACGGGCGAGCTGTGGGCGCCGGAGCTCGGCCAGCCGGAGCTGGTGGTCTTCGCGCCGGACATATGCACGTGAGTGGTGACGTAATAAACGAACAGGTGCAGAATGTTGAAGTTGTTTCTATTTACCCCACAGCGCACGTCTCTCTCGAAGGTGAGTCTAAGATTCGGCGGTACGCCAGTCAATGTTTTGTACGAGTAATTAGCAAAATGCCTGGAAACATGGCAAACGGTTCAAAAAAAGTAAGATACAATCACATGTGAACTTTCTTTACGGTGTAAAATGAAATGGCTACTATTTCAGCTCATAGTAAAATTTTGGATTTAGTTGTCGCCAGCGGTATTTCTGGACCGAAACGATTCAGGGACTTTCAATAAGAGAGCTTATTTGTCTCTAAAAGCCTGTTTTATTTTACATTAATAGTTTTCTTCTATCGGTGTTGCAGACGTCCATCCGTTAAACTCCTCTTTACAACAGCTTCGCTAGGACGGTGACTGTGTTGGAAATTCATTCCCGATTCAGGCACGTGACGCCTCTATGCGAATATCTGACATCTAATTGATAAAATTCGAGGGAAATTTTTATCGGTGGATACAATATTGTGGGAGTTCTTTTGTGAATTCTTTTGAAAATTTTCATCCTAATTTATAAGAGGCGTCATTAGATTGGTCTACGTTTTAGGAATGTCTAAGTTATACTATTTCAATATGATCAGCATGAAATAATATAATAGAGGATTTGTTAGTATTATTAATTCAGTGGTTTTTTGTTTCAATGAATAATCTACGTTCATTAGTTTAGTGTCGTGCAAATGCCATGCGTTGTTCTTTCACGAATGGCATTTACAATATTAATGTATACATATTGCATTATGCATTTACAAAAATATTTGAGCCGTTATATCTAAGTGTCCAGGCGCTCGCTTCTGATTCAATATACTCGAATTTAGTTGTTAACGAAAATTTTACGTGCTGACTTATCATGTGCTCAGCGGTGAAAGAAAACATCGTGGGGAAACCTGTATATTTTACTTTACTTCAAATAGTAATTAATTTAAAAACCGCCTAGCGTTTGACCACTGTCTCGCCTGATAGTGAGTAAAGATACTCGTATATGGTGAACACGTTAACTCAGTAATGGCTCCTTCTTGATGTCTGGGTCATAATGCATTCCTTGTATCTCTTAACGAACTGTGATAATGATGAGCAATTTCCTTTTGGTCCACTCCGTTATTTACGTGGGTTTCTTTGGACTTATAAAAAAAGCCCCAACATGAAGCACGAAATAGTCTGTCTGATGTAATGCAAATATATTTATCAATATGAGTTTCTCTATTCTTTGCTGTTCAATATAATTTATATATAGGGAATATCCTATCAAGTTCTTTCTGCGAAGAAATCTGAACAGATATTTCCTGTAAGAATGACCTAAGAAAAGCTGAATAGATATTTCCTATAAAATTATTCGTCTTTACCAGGTATTTAACACTGGCCATCAGTGGACCGGTCACCATCGACGGTATAGACGGTGTTATGTACGCAACAAACGACTCCACTTTCGACAACGGCTACAAATATCCGAATATGGTATGTACTTTATTTAGTATCGTTTTGTTACGATTTATTCCGTAAATAACTTAACTCTTTCCAAATGATTGTACTGCTTGAAGGAGATACGACCGAATAAACTTTAGTAGGGCCACGTGACAGTTTTCGCTGTTGCACTAATGTGTCCATCGGGGACAGCACCACGGAACCAATTCCGTTAACAGGTGGCAACGCATCTGCAACGGGTCTTGCAGATGTCCATGGGCGACGGTTACCACTTAAAATCAGGTTAAGAGCCGTGATAGCTCAGTGTCCGGGCGCTCGCCTTTAATTCAATTTATTCGAGCAACCTGAGTTCGGTCCTTTATTCAATACATATGACCTGAGTGTAATCCTCGGTGCCGGTGATTGAAGGAAAACATCGTGAGGAAATATTCTCGTAATGATAACAAAAAAAATTTAAAGTATGAAGGCCACCAATTCGCAGTGGGGTCGCGTGGTGAACTATGCCCTGATACCCTCTGTGCAGTGGGGACCCCGGTATATTTATAGACGTTAGCTAAAATCAATTGTTTAATAGCAAAAATGGAAATCTCGGGAAATACGGTGTAATAACGCCATCAGACGGAAATTGTTCGTCCGCTGAATCTTTTATTATAAACATGCTCAAGGTGGTTTGGAGAGACGCCCCATTTCTCTTTATTATTTTTTGGCGTATCGTTACACTATTTCTTGGACGTGCATGTTTTTCGAGATTCTTTTTACAGTGATGGTATCCCATCCTTCATCATAATCATCATCATTTCAGTCTGTTTTTTGAAAAGTCCAAAGAAACCCACATAAATCACGGAGTGGACCAAAGGAAATTGCTGATAATTGTCACAGTTGGTTTCGAGTACGAGATACAAGGAATACATTATGGCCTTTGCCCAGCTGTGGGACATGTATAGGCTTTTATTTCACTACTTTACCTAGTGAAGTCACATTTGATTTTCTCCCCTTCCTGGCGCAGGCTTGTTATTGTGACGAGGTCCGCGATGAGAACTGCCTCCCCTCTGGTGCGCTGAACGTATCTGCGTGCCGTTTCGGCGCGCCCGCCTTCGTCTCTCTCCCACACTTCCTCGGCATGGACCCCTACTACGCCAACAAGATTGACGGGCTATCGCCTACCGAGTGAGTATCAACCGTTTGCTGCTTAAGTGGACACAACGTGGTGTTTGGCAAACTTGTTGGCCAACCTGGTGCGGCCAACAAGTTTGTTGAACAACATGAAGGTTTGCTGGCGCCTACCGACTGAGATTCCACCGTTAGGCGCGTTAGTGGACATTACGTGCTGTTTGGCAAACTTGTAGACGTACCTGGTGCGGCCAACAAGCGTGTCGAACAATAAAGCTGTCTTGTCGCCTACCGAGTGAGTATCAACTGTTCGGTGCGTAATCACTAGTGGCTATTTAGCCAACTTGTTGGCGAACCTGGTGCGGGCAACAAGTTTGTCAAACTTCACGAAGCTGTGTTGATGGCACTGGTGGTCGGAGACCGGCCGGTCGGATCTAATTCGGCTTGAAATTGGTCAGTGGGGCGCGGCTGACGACACGATTTACGAACTCGATGACAAATTCGTCTTAACGGGGAGACAGAAAGGTTACTCTTTGGAACCATTATATTGCCTTAATGCACTTTATATTAAGAAAAAAACTGCGTAAAAAGACAAAACACGATAGCGCGTTGTGTAGTCTGTATTGAAATATTATTGATTTTTACTATAACAATCAAAAAAATTTATAGTTACCACCTTCGACCTTCGACTAGTGTTTGATTGGCTTACAGATAATTCATTACTTTTCCAACTGAGGCTAAGTGAATTTTATTAGGCAAGCGAGTGTATTAAGATTCTGTCCTCAAAGACGCTTACAGTGTCTCGGACTACTACGAACTGAAAACTACTTAAATACTTTGATCATAATTTTTCGAGGTAGGCTTAGGTAGGAATGGGCAGGTCCGTCCGGGTTAGTACCATGACCTCACAGAAGACCGGCGTGGAGAAGTGTGTACAGTTCTGTGGGTGAGGTAGTGGTGCCTGACTTTATTAAAAGGTCATCACTTAACGTCAGGAGAACCGCCAGCTCGCTTGCCTCCCTCTCACATTAAAGGCTATCGTGAACATTCATAGCCGAACGTGATCCTTGTAAACACCGCGCATCTTCTATTGCAGCGACTATAAGTTCCGTCTGGCTTTGGAGATGTACACTGGCATGCCGCTTCAGGTGAACGCTCAATTGCAGATCAACCTGTTGGTGCGACACGTCGGTGGCATCTCGTGAGTATTAACCCTCCCATAAAACTTCCGTTTAAAGATCTTATTGTAAATGTATTCGATGTCAGTCTTATGTTCAATCGCCCCTTCAGGCTAAACAACCAGCTGCCGGATGGCGATACCCTGGTGCCGATGTTCTGGTTCCGGCAGGAGGTCCGGATAAGCGAGGAGTACGCCCGCCTCGCGCGGTTCGCCCTCAACCTGCGAGACGGCATGCCCTATGGGTTCTACGCGCTCACGGTATTGCATACTTCCTTATCTCTAAGTTACCCTCCGAGTTCTAGAGCATTCCTCCTCAGGGCCAGATTTAGAGGTCTGGAGGCCCCGGGGCTACAGAGGAGTGGAGGCCCCTTGGCCCCAATTTATTTCCTATTGGTTTCTGTTAATATTTAATGTTATCATGTTTGTACAAACTACTGTAGGTTAAAGTAAAACGCGAAAAGAAATATGAAAGGAAAAGTTGTTTACTATTGTTTACTAGTATGAACTTGATTTTTTTTCCGAAGTCTCTATTGTGGGGGCCCCTCGTTTGTTCAGGCCCCGGGGCTATTTCCCCGGTTGCCCTCCCCTAAATCCGGCCCTGTCCTTCCTTGCAGGAATCGTTTTGAGTACGCTAAAAGGAAAAGTAACAGCCTATATGTCCCACTGCTGGGCAAAGACCTCTGTACAAAGGGTATTAGATTGTAGTCCACCTCTCGAACACACTGCTTCATTACTTCCCGGTTCCTATATTCAACGAACGGCTGTTGGTTACACAGCTTCGTAACTTTCATAACGACTTGTAGATCAAAGGAACGCTAGTGACTCACTTCCCGTAGGTAATGCAACGGCTCGTGAGGAAAACGCATCGTTTTCTTAATATAGAAACCGTGCGTACACGCCTATTATCTAGCTGTTTTATTTTGTACCATAACATATTATGTTTAGCGAACAAAGAATAAAATGACATTTCATTTTACTGCTATCTGGCGTGATATAATCCTCATAAAGATATAATAGCTCGTTTTAAATGCTTTAACTTGGCAAAATTTCAGCTCATTGTTTTTATAATAGCGCTAAAAAGAGTCATACCAGTGTGAAATTATCGCATTCGTTGTTGTTTTGTGCGCTGCGTACCCTTGCCAGATTGACTGCCTCCTAAAGTCCTCGTGCACCGCATTCCAGGCGATAGGAATCCTGCTGCTGATCCTAGGCATCGGCTTCCTCATCAGGAAGCTGATGAAGTCACCCGAGACGGCGCCGATACTTAACGAGAACACGGCGCCGGAGGAGACGCAGTGACCGCCCGCTGCCACACCAGCCACACTTGCCACATCACATGCCACCGTTGCCACGCGAGCCACAAGCGACTAAGGACGGTTCTGCGATTCGGGACCCGTCAGAGAGTTTGAAATTCCATTTCTGCTACATGTTCTGTCACATCCACTCCCTAAGGTAACGGTCGTGAATATTTACGTCTGTGTGATAAGCTTGAATAAAATTGACCCTTAAAAATATTACGTTAGAATTCGCATTGCTTTGATGCGATATTTTCTATTGATCGACTCAATGATTTTCGGTATATGACCATTAGTGACAGTTGTGCATTGACAATAAAATATTGGCGGGAAAATCTTTTTTAGGTTAGTATGAGGGGAATGTTATATCGTGGCGTGGTAAGCCTGTGATAGTGCCTTTGTAGCGTGTTTTATCACCGTTGACTGTGATTCCTTTATTTACGTATAATTCTGAATTCGTAACAGACTTGCTAGTACTTATTTTAAAGTATAAAGTGGCTGTTGCCGTGACTTAATACAGACAAGTTTCGTGTCCAGTGTAGTCCTTAAACAAATGAGGTTTTACATAACGAAATATGATCGAAAAAGTTATTTTTTTTATATCAAGCTATGCTTGCCCGTATTTATAAGCGAGTTGATATTATTGATTTAACTTTTTGTAGTTTTCAGCCAAAGTCAATAAATCATCCAACGTCCGCGGTTTCCCAATTTTTTTTACCTACTCGTTACTACATATTCTATTTGACATGAACAATTAAAAAAAATTCTAATTGATTTTTGTCGTGATAAATCGAATTTTTGGCTAGAAGCATGATATAATATCAAAACTTTTACATTAAAAATTATATTTTAATCGACTCATAATTTTTTTTGGTCGAAACGAGTTTTGACGTTGGTCCAAAGTCATAGCGGTCAAATTTGATCAATAATCGAAATGAAATTTAGAAAGCTGACTCTTGACGTGTAATAATATAAAATTAATTGAATATAGTTTCGTAAAAGCTATGATTTTTTTTATATTTTTCTGGACTAATAATTAAAAGTCTGAAATCAATATTTAGATGTTTTGACACTTAATTTGATATTAGCTATTTGTATAAAACTGTCCGAACTTAAAGTTCTGGGCATTATAACTTACACTTACCTTAAAGAAGTTTACCTTGAGGTACTTTAATCGTTTCTTAAGAAAAATTTTTTTTACGTTAATATATTTCTTTTTAGATATTTCATTTACTATTGTTTATTGTGTGTGTGTTTGTTTACAGCTGAATTGTATATCACAACTACTTTATTGTACGATGCATTTTATTATATCAACTGTTTTATAATTGTTAGAAAGGATTTCATACCTTAGTACTAAAAATAATTCCATTTAGTATTTAGATTTTTTTTAATCGTGCGCCTGCTATTTATTTTTATTCATTCAAATTAATTTTCATCACAATTTAATTGAATTAAAAAAATGGCTAATATTCCGAATAGTACGTCTCGTTTTTCAAGCTAGAAAAAAATTTTAATCGATAGAGAAATGTTAATAATTAAATATTATATAAGTTATAATCAATGAAAACCACTAGATTATGAGGAAAAAATTAACAAAGTTTTTAAATTTCATACAACTGAAATCCGTCATTACTGTGCGTCCATTATTCATTATAGACTATTATTTTAAGTTAAAAACTTACGTTTTCACTTTTTACGTTGTAAGAAGATACAAATACACGGATATATCACAAAAACACAAGTTTCTACTTCATGAACATGTATTATTAACAATTTCTAATATTTAAAATTTGGACTTAGGGTACACTTAATGTCTCGAATATTAGGTTCAAAATGAGTCACAGATCCGACACAGAGCGATCCGACTCGGATAGGTTAGGTTAGAAGGCTTAGCCTTCGATGTTAGGTTTTTTTTTTATGACCACCCAGAAAACTTTAGTGTAACAGTACTTTTAGTATTTTTAAAGACTCTTTTTTAATAATGCGAAGGTTATAATTTGGAAAAGTGAGAGAATTCTTAAATTTATACATGTTGTCAAACACAAAATGGCGGATTTATTTGGTGAAAATAACAAGTTTTAAATTTTTTTTTTTTTATTAAAAGTAAGTGTTTGCCTTGGTTTTCACGTATGTAATATTTAATTATTAACATTTGTCTATCGATTAAAATTTTTTTCTAGCTTGAAAAACGAGACGTACTGTTCGGAATATTTACCAAAAAAATATATAAAATAAATAATACTAAATCCTTTACTTGCATACATTCACGTGTCAGTGCTATTTTTTTCGTTACACTAATTGGCGGCAAATTTATTTTCCTTATCTATTTTTTAGGTTATTTTTCGATTGTCAATATTATGACTGTGCTTGCCAGTTTTGTGCCAGTCTTCCGTTCAACAGTGGAATTAGACATTTAAGAGATATGTTAATTTAAATCATTCCATTCGTTATATACTACACATTGTCCGTCATTGTATTTGTGAACGCTCGTTTCAAGTTTTGTTATTTTTGTATTTTAACTTATCCAGTTATTATTTTTTTGTTATTTGCCATTTGTTTTGAGACGCCGTCATATCCATAATTGTGTTTGTGTATATAATGTGGGTCAATTGGCTGTAATTATGTGATAACTAATCAGACTGTTATTAATTAAAACTGTTTTTATGTGTCGAATACGCCATCCCGAAGAAAGTCGTCTGGAGGTCTCGGGTATTGTCCTGACCGCTCACGAGGTATCTTTACTTCGGTTTGATATACTTTCAATTAAACCCTCAAAGTGATAATATCCATAAAATCAGTTTTAATCCAAGGCTCCTCTATAAGAGCAGGTCTCGTATCGGTTTATATTATAGATTTTTGTCAAAATATTTGCCGTTAGTAACAGTAATATTCTTATTTCTTAATAAACTTATTTCTTACTATGATGTCTTAAAATAGATTATTTATGAATTGCCGCTTACTTAATTCATCATTTGATGCTTTTGCTATTGACCGGAATTGTCTCTATTAAATGAAACCAGTTTACGGATTTTATCGCGTTTTCATTTTGATCTGAAACTCCCGACGTTTCGAACGCTTTCCAGCGTTCCTGGTCACGTGACATACTAATAAAATCCGTTAACTAGTCTTATTTAACATGTATAATATTCGCGTAAAATCGCGGTCATACGGCATTATCTCATTGTTTTTCATAGGGACGAATGAACTAGTGACATTTAATGCTTTATATATTTTTTATAACCATACCCTTAGTTTTATTGTAATCATGTTGACAATGTATTGTTGGCGATGTTTAGGACTGTTTGACTATTATTGTTAATTAGACCACTAAGTGTGAATTTGGTATGAACAGGGTCCTAAGGTTTTAGGTCAATTTAATTACGTCTTTACTTGAGTGTCTTTGAAGTTCAATTGTATTTTGTGTAAGTTTTATACCGTTAGCCGGCGACGGGCTCGACTATCGTCACTTCCAAATAATTAGACACCGGTGGTGACAGTTTGTAACGTTTCCTATCATCTGCTATTAACCGTTATTTATGGCCAGCATTGGTGTCTAACTTAATTTTAACTTAGCCGTATGCTATTTTAGTTGTGTTATTTTAAAAATAGTTAGGTATTTTTAATCAGTTGGTTCTCCAGTTTCTTAGGAATATGTTACCTTTTTCATAGTCTATTATAAAGTATAAGTAAACGAGGAGCTTTCAAAGATTCTACACGCATAATACGCACACTCATATGCTGTATACAGGATGTTTCGATATCTATTTTGATTTAATTAGTGCTAATAGTGGGAATTCTCTTGAAGCGTTTAGCGTTAAGTATCATTTAGTAGCGTCATAAATTTATAAGTCGATCAGTTTGGCAATGTAGATGATTTATTGTTGTTCCGACGCGGACTTGCCGGCGGGAGTCGTCATTGAACGATGATTCGCCTATTGGCAGATCACGTCTGTTCCATAGGTATTATTGTTAATAAAGAGTTATTTTTAATATGTTTTCGTAATAAAATTTTTGAAATGTTACCGACTTTTTATTTTGACATGCCCTATGATTTGATCGTGTGACCAGGGTCATAAAAATCATAAATATTGTGATTTTTTTTAATTGGCGGTGCACCTGATGTTAAGTGAATACCGCCGCCCATGGACATCTGCCACACCCGAGGGTTACAGATGCGTTGACAACCTTGTGAAAATTGGGCTCCGGCTACCTCACTCACCAGACGAAACGCGAAAGTATTTGTCATACTTCCTCTTTACGCTGGTCTTCTGTGAGGTCGTGGTGCTTACCCGGACGGGCCTGCCCGTTCGGGCAACAGCCGAGGCTGCTGCATGGCCCTACCACCGTAAAATACTAAAAATAAAACTATCACAATGTTATTTTATTTTAATTTTTTATTTTATTGAACAACAAAATCCACAGCCCTTAGTTTTTACACAAGTATATCACATATGGGGCATTCCACGCGAAGCGGACAGGTAAAAAATGTTGTTTCCGATATTAGTAATATTTGATTATCTTGTACGTATATGTGTCATAAATCCAGATACAAAATATTTTTACAGTATAAAATGTAGGTTTACGATTTAGAGAGCTTTAAAAATAAATGAGACTAACCGGCAGGTATGCGCTAATTCGAATTCCATTATCCGGTATTGAAAAGATAAATGGAAATAAATGAAGTAGTCAAGTGTATGCTTAATTTAATAAGCTTTTTAATTGCATTTATGGATATTAAAAAAAATTTTGGAAAAAAATCATGTTTGAACTTTTAACTGTTGGACCACTTTATTTTTTTTCTAAAACTAGTTTATAGTGTATAGATAATCCTTGCCAAGTTTCATAATGGGCCGAGAAGTCCTTTAGTAGTTAGGCCATCTACAGTGTCAAAGGGTAGCGCCGGTGCCCGGGTCGCGCCTTCTGCCAGCTAACGCGAACAAAAACATCCAACAGAATATTTTGTTTACCTAATTGAGGTCAATAAATCATTTGACCTTA